TTCATCTTTCTAATCACTTGCTGTTCTGTTGGGTGTAAATTTCCTTTCAAATCCTGGCAGTTCTGGTTCTTTTCTTTTGCTTGCTACTTAATTACCTTTTTTCCTGAAGCCCCTAGTTGAGCCGTGGAGAAAACTTTAAGGCATAAATGTCAGTTCTGTAGGTTCCAGTGTAAGTACAAATGGGTCTGCTCGTACCATTTGGTTTGCATCAGTTTTGTGACAGGTTGATTCCTTTGCCGTACCGAGTGGTCAGCTGTGCTTATTTAAGGCCAAAATCACCGGCTAGTTAATGGCTGAACTGTCATAATAGTTTTAGGAATGTCTGGTTAATATAACTAGGAATGGGCTAGTTAATGACTTTGCAGCTAAATGGCTCTTCCCTTTATTAATGGCTGTGTTTTCTAATTATTTATAGCTCACGTTGACGCCAGCCCAGCAACAGTTATTACTACAGCAGGCGCAGGCACAGTTGCTGGCGGCTGCCGTGCAGCATTCGGCCAGTCAGCAGCACAGCGCTGCAGGTGCCACCATCTCGGCCTCTGCTGCAACGCCGATGACGCAGATCCCTCTATCTCAGCCAATACAGATTGCACAGGTGAGCCTTGAGGCTTGAGAGGGCGGAAAATGAAGGTGTTTGACTAACTGCATCATTCCAGTAAAGTTTTTCTTCCATGCTCAGTAAGTTTCTAGAATCCTTGAGCACTGTCAGTGTTTCCCCGCTGGTCCTGAGCAGCAGGTTGGTCACTGGGTGCTCATCAGTTCCACTGGGCTTCTGAATTTGTTCCAGAATCTAACCAGAAGCTGCTTTCTCAGAATTTCCCTCCCTATAGTTAGCTTAAGAAAGGAGAAAACAGAGTATAGAAGGATGCCTATAGAAATAATGACACTTGCTGAGACCTGTAGGAAAGGCAGCCATGTTTTGACTCAGCACTTCATGCTCAGAGTTCAGTGACAAAGAACGAGCGCTCTTGTGTGTCTAGACAGGATCTTTCCAGAATGAGGCTAGTTTATGAGCTTGTTCAGGTTTTGGTTCACTGCTCAATACCTGTTAATTCCAAAGACCTGTTTGCCAAGGAAATTGGCAATTTAAGAGCAGTAAAAAATCCCCGTGAATCTTTCAGGGTTAGCTTAAATCAGTGTGGAGAATGTGGCACCACTGACTATGGTTAGCATATGCTGTTCAGAGACTTTATGAACTTCTGAAGATGGGTAGCCGAACCTATAGCACAGGCTTTTTGAGTGCTATATATAGGCATCTGTGTCACCAACCCTGAACTCCATATCTCCACAGTTTAAGGTTCTCGGTACATAGTATTTCAGTTAGTCCAGCCACAAAGTATTTTGAGTCCTGAAATCTCCAAGGTTGCTGCTTCTAACAGGGAACAACTTCCTTAAGATTGTCTGACACTCTATTCAGCCTGTTTTTGCTGGCGTTCAACTGAGATGAAGTGTCAAAGAAGTGAAATGGGGACTGATTAAGTAAAAAAATGGAAATGTTACAAATGTCTGTGAAGCCCACTGCAAGGTGTGCTGTTCCTTCATGGTGCTAGTTCATTTGCAGAAAAACAGCTTGATTATGCTGTCAGTTATTTTGTCCCCCTGAAGTGGCCAAGCTTGGTCTGAAAGTTCTGACCTGTCTGCCTGCCACACCAAAAAAATACATTGAAAGGATGGTATTGATGTTGCCTATGCAGCCCTGGCTGTCTCTTACGCCTGGTGACATTTGTGAGTCATGTGGCTAGGAACTTCCTCTTCTTTTAGCAAGGGATCCCAATTCACTGTCATGATCTAGAGATGACTCAATTATTTTCTATTGAAGGAAACTCTTAGTTCTTAAGGCTTGCTCTTCTGTTTTTTTTGTTTGTTTGTTTTGTTTCATTTTAACCTTAGCCTATACCCAGTAGGACTGGTAGATTTCAAAAAAAGAGCGGGAAATGTTCTGGCCACGGGCATTGATAGCATCTAAAATTTCTCCATGTGTCTGTTGCAGAGGTGCCATTTGCTAGCATGCAATTAACTTCATCTGAGCTTAAGGGGTCCACTGTTGTGTGCCTCTTGTCTTCTAGGTGCCCAGCTTATAAGACAGCAATGCCTGTTTTACGCATGTTTTGCTCAGTGTTAATATTTTATATTAATAGGAGCTGTACCTACCCAGACCTTTGTCAAATACAGTACGAGAATTAGCGGATGCTTTTTTATATGTTGTTGTGCAGCTGTGAGATTTTAGTAATCCAAGTGTTTTACTCCAGTGGGGTGCTATGAAAATTTGTGAAGTATTTACAATTATTGATTTACAATTGGATTTGTCTGTGTTACTTACAAAATCTTCAGAGGAGGAGTGTGTAGCATTGAAGATAAAAGGATATGCCATCAAATAGGAGCTTCTGGAGTGAGCATTGTCTGCTTGTGTGTTTCAATGAGCTAAATGCTTCTATGGAAGAATAGCGTGTCATCAGGTCATTGCCAGCATGCAGTATGTCCTTGTAGGGCAAGGGGAACAAGCTAAGGTTTCACTTCTTTCTGGGTTTCCTAACTTTTTGATTTTATTATTATTAAAAAATAATTTCTACTAGTATAGGCTATTTGATATGTATGTATAGCTTGGTTGAGTTCTGTTAACCTCATCTGATGAGGAAAGCACAGGATATAATTAATCTGGATGTTTGACATAATTTGAGGTGTGTTAAGGAAAACCTCTATTATCTAGTTTTGTACCTGGCTAGCACCATGCATTTTCATCCATCTTGACACTGATTTGTAAACAGGGCTCAGCTTTGCTTGTTTGTGTGCTATTGTAAACACGTAGCTGATTACACAAATAGCTGAATGTTTGTTTTAATTGATGATTCCTGAATAATTGATTAACTGGCAGGTCTCTGCAGCAGGGGGATTACCATATTTATTTCAATTAACTAATTGCACAAGCATGACTTCTTTAATGTGCTCTGCACTTAATGTAGGGTATCTTCTGCAGAAATCTGGTAAAATGTTAGTGCTGCTGCTGGGTTGATGCTAAATTGTTGCTAACAAGTTTTGGAGTTCTGTGCAACCTTCTCTTGCTTGTTTTCAGGGTCTATCATCAATGATGTGATACAAATCTCCGAAAGGCAGAGATGCTTTTAAATTTTTAAATTTGTGCTGAAGTTGTAACTACAAATAATGATATGGAATTTAGAACTTCCCATGATTTCTCAAAAAAAAAAATCCTCCTAGAAATATGCTCCAAATATTGTGATGAGATAGAAGTTGGGTTGCTTTCATCTTTCTAAACTGATAGGAAGCACCACAAAAGATTATTCTGGGCCATTCTTTCCATTTCTTCCTGCGTGCTAGTATTCCGATTTTTACTACAGAGGAAAAACAAGTTCAGCATAGAAAAAACTGAGTCAGAGGCTGTTTGCATGTTTCCTATTCAGGGATTTATTGTAGTGCTACAATTAACTAAATAACAAAGCTTTCCCAAGGTAGAAATAAAGTTGGATTTCAGATGAATCTGAGGGGCTAATAGGAGTCTTTAAAGAGTAATATGCCTTGGAGGTATCATTTCCATTTTGCAGTAGAATTATATTTCTGTATTTAAACAGGACTCGGCCAAGATAGCTTTTGCCAAGACCGATGCAGAGCATTAGACTGCTGGTACCAGTTACACCGAGGCCATGATTCAAAACCAGTTTTCTCATATTGAAGTGCAAGGATTGCAGCAACAAGAGCTGCTGTGTCCTAGCTGGATACCTGGCCTTTTGAACGTTAGTGTCTTGAACCATCCTCAAAAACCATTGTCTGCTCTATCGCATGTCTTTATACTCTTTGTACATTACTCAATCTGCTGCAGTTCTTCCCAAGTCATTCATGGTGGAGGGGTTCTCATTTGTTAGCTGTTGGTGAGGGAGGCCTTTTTCTTTCTTCAGAAATGTCTTCCTAACTCTACTTTTGGGATTCTGCTTTATCTCTTATCCATCCATATTTTCATAAGTCAGCCTTTCTCCCTTTCTTTTTTTTCTTCTCAGTATTCTCAGCCCTAGCTGCCTTCCCCTAATCTTTTTCTATTGCATCTAATCCAATCACATCCTAATCACATCCAATTCATTATGAGCCTCTCTGTGATAGAGGTCCGCTCAGTCTGTGATGATAGTGTTCGTAAGCCAATAAGTGAGTTGGAGGTCCCTGTCTCACTGAGGGGTTCAAGAAATAAGACTAGCTTTTACTATTAGTTTTGGCCATTCTAACTTTTTTACGTGAAGTCAGAAAAAAAATATCTACTGCCTGGAGGCCTGTGGCCAGTGGTGTCCCACAGGGATCAGTACTGGGCCCTGTACTGTTCAGCTTGTTCATCAGTGACTTGGAGGAGGGCACAGAGTGCACCCTCAGCAAGTTTGCAAATTGGGAGCAGTGGCCAACACTCCCAAGGGCTGTGCTCAGTACAGATTAGGGGTTGACCTGCTGGAAAGCAGCTCCATGGAGAGGGATTTGGGGGTCCTGGTTGACAAGTTAACCATGAGTCAGCAGCGTGCCCTTGTGGCCAAGAAGGCCAATGGGATCATGCCCTGCATCAGAAGGAGCGTTGCCAGCAGATCAAGGGAGGGGATCCTGCCCCTCTACTCAGCTCTGGTGAGGCCACACCTGGACTATTGGGTGCAGTTCTGGGCTCCTCAGTACAAGAGGGGCATGGAGCTTCTAGAGAGGTCCAGCGCAGGGCCACGAAGATGATTAAAGGACTGGAGCATCTATCTTATGAGGAAAGACTAAGTGAGCTGGGCCTGTTTAGCCTGGAAAAGAGAAGATTGAGAGGGATCTGTTCAATATGTGTCAATAGCTGAGTGGAGAATGTAAAGAAGTAGAGGCCACACTCTTCTCAGTGATGGACAGTGACAGGACAAGAGGTAATGGATATAAATTAAAACACAGGAAGTTCCACCTCCATGTGAGGAAGAACTTCTTTACTGTGAGAGTGACAGAGCCCTGGAACAGGCTGTCCAGAGAAGTTGTGGAGCCTCCTTCGCAGGAGTTCTTCCAAACCCACCTGGATGCCACCCTGTGCCACGTGCTCTAGGTGTCCCTGCTGGAGCAGGGGGGTTGGACTAGATCATCTCTGGAGGTCCCTTCCAACCTCAACCATTCTGGGATTCTGTGAAAAAAGCATGGAACTCCCTGAAACAACTGGAGCAAGAATATCTCTTGTTTTGGGAGGAAAATTGGCCTAAATTTTGTAGGAATGGCTGCAGTGCTTCTGCATGATGATAATATCAATTTTTAAAGTACTCTTTTGTATTAGGGAGTATTTTGGAGCTATTTTACCATTGTTTCATAAAAATGAAAGTTTCCATTTCTAAAAGGGCATTGCTTGGTCAATGCCATCTGGTGTCTGTCTACCGTTTTATTACACTGTGTGCTTTTGAAGTAACATGACCAAGTTGACTAAGTGATTGATGGCCAGTGCCTTTGTAATGCAGGTTAAGTATTCATTTTCTTATAATGTATCTTTATGGTTTCATAAATCAAAGAACTCATGTATTTCCCCTTCATTGTCCTCCCTCTGGCACCCGCTGCTCCTCCCAGAAAAATAGTGTTGATGCAACTGTTAGTCCGTACTTTTAACAATTTTCAAGTAATGTAAGAGTATAGGCAGATTTATTTGGAGAATGGCTGTACTGCTTAAATAAAATGCTATCCCTGTCAGTCTGTCTTGACTATTCATCACCATCTCCATTGCTGGCAGTTAATGGCCTTTCACATCTGCTGGTCGAGCAGCTTGTGTGAGTGCATGGTACCCCGCATCAGTCAAAATGAGCAGGGGTTAGTTTACTGGCCTGAAGTAGCAAGTCTTTGTTAATCTGCCTCTCTTGAATTGAAATATGTTCGGAAGCAGGCTACCGAGAGCAGCTGCTTTCAAGCAGGCCGCCTGAGGCCTGGCGCAGGAGCGGCCTGGCGCTGTCGGCGGCGCCTTCTGACACGGTCGAACCCGAAAGAGAATATCTGTCTGCAAACAGTCCTTCGTGTTTCAGGCAGGGATTAAAGTTTTCTGGGGTTGGCGGTTGGTTTGTTTCTGTTTAATAGGAGGTTGCAGCTGTGGGAAATGCTAGGAGTTTTATCCACCTGCGTAAGGGCAGGTATTTTGCAGTGCTGTCTTCTCCAGAAGATGCTGCATGTGCATGTGCGTAAACACAGCTTTCACAGATTACCACTGGTAAATGGTCTGAGCTTTACCCTGAGCTTCAGTTTTCAAATTTCATTTCCTCTTGTTATTGTCCTGTTGGGATAAGAGAGGAAAAAAGAAAGGCAAGGTTTGGGGGAGTTTTCTAAGTCAGTTCTTTGTGTTTTCATTCTCTAACTAAGCAGCAAGTTAAAGCATTTTTCATGGTGATTCGGTTCCTGAAAGATTAGCATTTATGTAGAGACCAATCATTTTATTATAGGAAATTAGTAGTTCTGAATGGTTTAAATAGGTAAAAGTAGGGCACTACAATAGCTCAGTGTTGGATGTTTTTTTTCTTTTAATCTTAATTAGAACCACACTTATTATGCTTATTGCAATTTATTTCAAAAGTATTCAAATATATTTGTTTGCCTTTTGAGGTAACTACTTCCAAAATTTGACCTGAACAGCTGGAGTGCAAAATCCTAGGAATACACTTGATTTATGAACAATGAATTCTTGTAGCACAGTTACATCCTCAGATAATAATTTAGTGAAATGAAAGTGCTGATAAGTCTAAAGCATTTGACAATTTCAGGGTAGAGTTATTGGGAAGGTTCAGGGTTGTAGGTATTTTTGCTGATTTTTTTGAGGGAGGAGGTGTGTGTTAGTAGTTAAAGGACCGTTTATTTTTAGAAGAAATACTTTGCTGGGATACTTATTAAGTAATGCATATTTGGTTTTATGAAGAAGAGTGAAATTCATATTACCAGCATATATTCACTAGCAGAAGTGCTGTATTTGAGATCCGCTTCTCTCTCTCAATATGCCTCTCAATGCTAGAATGCAGCTGGTGGATCAAAAATCTAGTTATGCTAGGAATGAACCATGGCTGAGTTAAATGTCTAACACACACACTTTCTTTTTTTTTATTCTTTTCTCCATTTAAGGATTTGCAGCACTTGCAGCAGCTTCAGCAGCAGAATCTCAACCTGCAACAGTTTGTGTTGGTGCATCCAACAACCAACTTGCAGCCAGCACAGTTCATCATCTCACAAACACCGCAGGGGCAGCAGGGTAAGTGTACTTTGCCAGAGGAAAAAAAAGTCAGATGTAGCAGGGTGGAGGAAATGGAATGAGCTGGTTTTTGTGCCTTCTCTAACTGTTCATCTTCCATGGGATAAGCAGCACTATTGCAATTAGGGAACTCTTAACAGGTGAGGCTGGCTCATTCTGGCTGTTAGGCCTCAGCCTTGTCAAAGTGTAGCTCACTCCTCCAGAGACTGCAGCAGCCATATTTCTGAACAGGGGCTCTCTGGGTGTAAGCCTACCAGAAAGAGGGCTTGGAGAAGACAGCTCTCCAGAACTCGCAGGCAGAGGCCCATGATGGGGAGGCTTGGAGGGAGTATAGGCATTCTGGTTTAGGTCTGTGCTAAAAGGGCTATAAAATTATAGCACTGGAAGGATTACAAAACCAGAGCCCCTGTGCGAGATAAGAAAAGTCTTTAAGTCTAAAGAGCATACAGTGAATGTTGTCATGCACTGAAGTTGTAAGTGCATCTTGGGAGAAGGGTTAGATTTTGTACGCTACCACTTGGAAAGATTATTTTTGCTGTATACTAAGTAAGGCAAATCAAGGCAGTATTAGGGCATAGTGCTAGATCAGTTAAAATTATGTACAGGAGCTTTGCTTTAAGAACTAATGCATTCAGGTTGCTGTATATCACACTACTGGTTGCACCCCATTTTTTTGATGCCCTGGCCATCTGCGTTTGACTATGGGCTCTTATGCCAATACACTCCAGTGGCATGATTTTCCCTTCTCTTCTCCGTGAGCTCTCCTGCATCGTTCAGGTCTGGTAGTCTAAAAGTGGTTGCTGAAGAGGTGCCTCCTGTTTGTGCTTGAGGAAACTTCCAGAGCCTGGCTGCCCTATAAAGCAGCTCTTTGCACCTCATTTTCTTTTCTAACTTTTAACTTTGTCTTACACTATTTCTTTTCATATGCTACAGTGTGGCTGGAACTGACTTTCCAGTGGCCTGCAGCACTCTCACTATCTGATGGACTGTTCTCTTTAATTACTTTTAATTGCTGTGTGTCTCTTGAAGAAAAGCAGAATTTATAAGTTTTACTTCTCCCTTTTGCTTTCCCTTTCACTCTTTCTTTTTCTCTCTCCCTCTCTCTCCTTCCATCTCTCCCTCTCTCACCAATATTTTTGAGGAAATGGCAAGCACAAAATCATTGTTTTAGAAAATTCTCACCATTTGAGATTCATGTCTGCCTACCATATTCAGAGAACTTTTGCTGTTTTTCTAAAACATCTCTACAGTTGTTTCACAGAAGAAGGAAACTACCTAAAACTGATTTTATTCACCCCTCAAAATGAGTTGTTTGCTATATAAAAAGGAATAAAATTGGAAAGGAAGGGTTTATTTTAAAATCTTCCCAAGTAGAATAGCTATCAGAAGATATTTTCCTAGTACCTTTTTCAGGAGCCTGCTCTGAAAATGATTTCTTGACTGCAGTTTAATCTTGGCCACATATTGCTGTCATCAGTGACACAGTGTATGTGGAAACACCATGTTTTACTGGCAGTGTGCAGCCTGGACAATTAAATAGTTCAAAAATGCAGAAAGATTTATATTCTGTATTCTGACAATCAGCCATTAGTGTGTGACAGCCTTCCAAACTGAAATGTTTGAATGGATCTAATTTTCTTCATGAGCACTCAATGATAAAGCAACATGTATGTCATAATACTCCTTATCTCACTTTCTAGTGTGGCTTTCTGCAGTATTTCATGGTTATTATTAGAAGATCTTGAACAGTATGTTATCAGTTACGAGAGAGAAAGCTTGAGAGTGAGTGCGTTTTTTCTTTGTCATTGCTCTTCGGCTGAATTTTCCCCATTGTTCTTGTGCTGTTGCTCCACTAGTCAACTTCATAAGAGAAAAAATGTTCTGAAGAAACTGACAATGAGCTTTCTTTAAAGCTAAAGACATTGACCTGCTGGATGCCTCATCAGTACTCATATAGCTTTATATATGCACCCAATTAGTAATTAAACTGAAATATCAGATTTACATATATGCTTTTTATTCTTAAAGAAATCTATTGCTTTAGAGACCATGCTACATATTTTGTACATATCATGTGGTCACATACACGAAGAACTCTTGTGTCGAAAAGAAAATTTTGAAGGAAATGAGAGCAAGGAATGATTTCTCTAAGCGAGATCATCAGCAACCACATTTAGATTTATGGAAGGGATTGAACCTCTTGGCTTAAGTCTTTTTAAAATCCAACATTTGAAAAAATGTTACAAAAAATTAATACCTAAAATACATGATTGATTAAAAAAAAATCCATTATTTTTTCCTAATATCTTTGTTCAATATATACCGATCACAGCAGATGTGAAATTCTCTCTGTAGATTCACTGCCATATGTCTAATGGTAACCAGAAATCACGTGGAAAAGATGACTACAAGTCACATAAGCATGAAATAAATACATAAATCATGAAATTTCTGTTTTTCATGGCTCGTAATAGGTAACATCGTAACTGAAGTGATTGTTTCAAGTCTCAGCAGACAAATAGAAGAGTGAATGGAAATAGAAATCTTGAATACTTTCTCATCCATAGCAGTTGTTTTCCCCATATAATACTAAGTCACCAAGCAAGAAGGTGGCAACTTACACTTTGTATGTCTTGTATGTGCTCTGTGAAGTAATATGTGTGTCTCTGGAATCATCAGTGCAACATCCTTTACTGTAACCATAGGTATTTTATAAAAAATATTACACTCATCTAATGACCTTTAGTCTTTTTATTTAGAAGGTACTGCCGATTAAAAAAATGTTGATAAAAGGCTGAGTGGGGAAGAGAAATGATGCTGTATTTCATTTAAATTACTTGTGTAAGCGGAAGTTGTTGTTGCAAGCGGAAAGGAGGAAAAAAACTGCATCACAGTGAAGAAAGCAAGCTATGTTTGTAAAGCATGACCTATGTATTCAGAAAGACAAATGTGGAAGCCAGGCTACTGATTAGCTTTAAACCTTGTGTCTGGGCCTATTCTCAAAGTATTAATGTTTATTAACAGTCTTGTTTGTGACTTCCTTTTCTCATGTAAAAGGCCCAGTTGAGTCCAGTTCTCTTCTTAGAACGTTTCTAGTTGTATTACAGACTTTAAGACTTGTGTCATTTGAACAACAACAAGCAAAATTTAAAAACAAATACTTTGAGACATTGTTGCCAGTACTTATGGCTTCACACAGTGTGAGGATGAAGGAAGGTGCTTGAAGTTGCCTCAATTTCTTCCCAGATGCATTAAATTTATAATGGACAACTGCGTGGCAGCAGGTTAGTATCTCAGTGGAGCAGATATCATCTGTTTTGTACTTTCTTTCCTTTGGCTCCCAATCTAATTTCAGCTCTCAATCTTTGTTTTGGAATTAGAGAAAATAAGGTACTCTGAAATGCTCGGTGGTTTCTTTGCATCAACAGCAATCAAAAAGGTCAATCAAATGACATTATATGTAGTAGGTGACATACTCTATATAGTATGTAGTATGCTCTGTACTGTACTCGGCATGTGGTACTCTTCCTGCTTCTTTCTCCTTATTTTCCAGTTAATCAAATTGCAACACTGTAATGGTTTTGCCTTGGAAGCTAGCTTCCAGGATATGACTGTGAGAAGATGAACATCTTTGGCAGAGAAAGCAGTCAAGTTCTTTTTAGATGAAAAATGTCACTCTTTTGGGAGATCAGTTAGGGATGAATTATGTATTGTGCTTCTGGGCCAACTTTTGAAAAGTTATGCTGAAAAAATCTACACTTGAATGTTTGTTTTATCCTTTGTTTAATTTTAGACAGTAACAACTGAATCCCCAGATCATTCACTGGGGACTCTTGGCTGGTAGGAAGAGTTTTTGCCTTGGGCCATTAATTCATACGAGGTTTAGATATCGCAGGAAAACTGCTGGGCTGTGGTAATTCATTTACTTTAACTATTAAAAATAATATTTAATACCTCTAAAACATCACTTTTTTGCATAGATCGTTATCTACCTCAGCAGTGGTAGTATCATTCTTCTGGAGCTTTGTACATATGCTCTGTTTGCTGTTATTACTATTGAAGCAGTGATACCATAGGGCTCCTAGTACCCAAAGCAGCAGGTCAGAAGTACTACCTTTTATAAATTTAAGTATGCAAGTACAATATTAATTTTTATAGAGTGAAAGAATCATGTAGGGTAGAAGAGAGTTCTAGAGGTTATAACAATCTTCCTCAAAGCAAGTTCAGTAACAGCAGTGTGCTGTGTGTTTGGAGCATCTCCAAGGATGTAGGCTCTGCAGGCTCTCTGGGTACCTGCTCCAATTTTTACCCTCCTGGTAACAAATTGGTTTCTCTATAACTACTTTGAGTTTTCTAATCTAATTGTTGCACACACTCAAGAAGAGTCCATATATGTCTTCTTTCAGTCTCTTACCAGGTAGTCGAAGGCAGCGCTAAGATCTCTGCTTATCCTACTCTCTTAAGGCTGAACAAACCCAGCCCTGTTACCCTTTTCTTTTATGTGTGTGCCAGCCCACCACCCATCTTGAGGTCTTTCACTGTACTTATTCAAGGATGTCAGTACGTGTCTTGTGCTCTGAAGCCCAACGCTGGTCTCACAAGCACTAAATAGCGAGGAGGGATCGTTTCTCCCAACCTGCTGCCTGCATTCTTGCTTACACAGCCCGGAATGGGCTTGTCCTTCTTCAGTGTAAGGTCACGCTGCTGACTGATGTTCAGCGTGTCCTCTAGGACTCCCATGTCCTTTTCTGCAAAGCTCTTTTGCAGCTGCCCAGGGCCCAGCAGCTTCAGCTGCCCAGGGGCCAGACTGTTTTCCCCTGACTTTTGTGTCCGGGCCCTGACCTCCAGCCTGTTGACCACTGCCCGCTGTTTAGTAGTGAGTGTAGACTTGCTGAGAGGGCATTCTGTCCCATCACCCGTAACGCAAAAATAGCCTAGACAGTATTGGCATCAAAACCAATCCCTGAGGGCACAGGAAAGTTTGGATCACTCATAACAGTTCCCTAAAGGTCTGGGTTTGGATTTTCATTGTGTTTAAAAGGTTGCACTACCCACCCTATAATTTGATTCATTGAAGTTATCCCAGACTGAAATAGGAAGCTGTTGTCTGACCTTGGAAGAACAAAGCTGAAGTTAATGTTAGTACGAGTCGTCTCTGAAAAAGGCAAAACTGCAGCTGCCCATCCAAGGAATTCACAAGATCTACATACTGTATGTCTGAAAAGTATCTGAAGAGACTCTTAAAGGACATGTGCTTTGCCAGACAGTTCAATTGCTTTCCCCATTGCCTGATTATTATTTCCATCATTCTCAGGTTGAACTTCAACTAACTTTTCTTTCTCCAGTTTCTGCCTGAGAGACCTTGTAACAGCATTTCAGAGGTAGGATAAAATGATTAAAAAACTGAGTATATGAAGCATGTTCAGAATATTTCATGTTGTCCTTCTGTACTAATTACTTGAGAATGTACAAGTAAGAACAAAATGAGGAAGAATGTAGTCATCTCATGCACTTCAGCGGAAATGTTATTGCCAGAAAATCATCCTCTGGGATTTCTCTGAGGACAAGAAGTCACAAAAAGACAGCCCTAATTACTCTGGTTATAGTCATAAGATGAGGCAGTAGCTTGTGATCAATGCTGTTACAGGTGGATTAGAGGTCACCGTAAGCTACCTGTTTCTTGTTTCATTACTGGGCAGCCACTCTATAGCACTATGACATTTAGACCTTTCTATTTCAGGCTGTCAGAATTCGCTGCCACTAAATAAAGGTCAAAAGCTGTTCACTTAGAGGTGGCTATTCATTAATTAACAGATGAATTAGGGCACCTGAAGTCATCTTTCTAGTGAACAAACATATGCCCTGCACTATGCAACTGGTAGTATGTAGCTGTCTGAGAAGCTCCTTCAGCCGATCCATTCTCTCGCTGTGACTTTTCAGAAACACTGAACTGAACTGTGTTGATTATGTAGTACAAAGCCAATTTACATAGCTGCTGTTTGTGCTATACTATTGTTTTGTATAAGCAGCTGTCTTTATTCTGTAGGTCTTAAGTATTTTGTTAGCAATATATTATATTCTGAAATACATATTCAACATGTATTTGAAAAAAGAAAGAAAAATGTAACAGAAATATTAGTGAAGTCTATTCTTTTCTGGTTGTGTATCTCTCATCAAGGATATGAGTTTGTCCTCCCTACCCTATGGTAATTCCAGTTTTTATGTCACCTTAACCTCATTAAATATTCTTTAATATTCAAAAAAAATTCAAAAGTTTCTCTTTTGATAGTCAGGTCCCAAACTCTTGGGTCTCCTGACTGTGTTGTGGTAAGGAGGTAGTTCTGATCATAAGTAGCTTGCACTGACTGATCTTGTTGATGGGCCAGAACAGAGTTTTCCTTATGTGGATGTTCAGGTGTGTTCTGTCTGCTGAATGGACGTAGTTTTCTCGGAAGGTTGTAGGATCTTGTGATCTGGAAGACACCTTTTAAATGTAATTTTAATTAGTGTCTTAAATTAGTATCACAGAAGTTGATAGGCTTAGTCAAAATTGGCATAAAGAATAACAGTAACGCTATGTACAGTCAAATTCAGGGAGGTGATAGCTGTAAGTTTATTTTTGTCAAGGTTCTTATCCCTTAAAAGTACATTTTTTATTATTAGACATGCAAAAAAACTATTCAGAGAAATAAATATACCTGCATGTTTCTCAGTGTCTTGAGCAATTTAATAAACCATATGAGTGGTAGACTGTTAGAAAAAATATTTTTAGAATGACAACATATTGTGTATATGCATGGAGTCTGACTGATAGACGCAATAGGTTCCTTATTTAATGTTTTTAATTTGGAATCTGTATTGGTTGCACTACCCACAGTTGTTCTCTAATGCTGTCGTTCTTTTCCTGATAGTGGGTTTTTCATGTATTCGTTGTAACGCTCATCTTCTTTGTGTAATTTTAGCAGTGTTTGGCACTTACGTAAAATTTAAGATCTAATTACGCTTCCATAAGGCTCCCGCCTTACTTCAGCCCGGAGGAGGTTATCTGGGCTTCCTTTGTCTTCTGGTTTACTAGAGAAAGTTGTCTTCAACAGGAGAACAAATGTGCAGTAACGAGTTGTAAGGCAGCTGGCCTGGGGTGCTGCACAGGTGCACAAGGAGCCCAATCTGAAGGTTTGGTTGGTGTTCAGTTGTCACAGACCCGGTCACTTTTGTATGGCTCCCTAATTCTTGGCCAGCCGTCGATTACTGAAAGAAGCATCCCCCAAGTCTATGAGCAGAAAAGAGCAATAAATGATTCCTGTGCACAAAATGAGCATAGTCATTGCAAACTCTATCTACAGACTAGTGCAGGCTTTTCTCTTTCCCCTCTCTGTTCTCCTCCATGCTTTATGAAAATGCAGAGGAATTTTGGACTGAAAAGTCCAAAGTCTGGCAGTATCTATGCAGGGATAAAATAAAAGCTTGCCTCTCAAATGTCTTGTAATTCTCTTATTTGGCAAGAGCCTTCTTTCACCTCATTTCATGTTCTAGTGTTTTTAAATGACAAACCGAACGGCCTCTCTTCTCTTTCCAGGTCTCCTGCAAGCGCAGAATCTCTTAACGCAACTACCTCAGCAAAGCCAAGCCAACCTCCTGCAGTCTCAGCCAAGCATCACCCTTGCCTCGCAGGTCAGGCTTATCCCTACAGTTTATTTGCTTTTTTGGGGGGATTTGAGTTATTAGAAGCGAAGGGGCCTTTTGTGTTAGTCACAGAAATAGATTTAACGTGTATGTTAGTGAGTTTGTCTTTTTAGATTCAGTGTAAAACTGAACCAATCGGAACTTTTTAATTTAAGTTTCCATTCTCAAGTGCTTTTTATGCACTTAACTTCCTAAACTTTATTCTTAGCTGGAAATTTTCATGTGATTTCGTGAGTTAGTGGGACTAGAGGAGCGTTTGCTTTCTTGTAAGGTTTTCTTATACAATCTATAAACTTGTGATTTTCAGAGGAGCAAAAAGTTCAAAAGACAATTGTTGAACAGTTGTTTTTGCTGTTTGACAGGGAGGGTTAGAGTGCAGTGGCAATCAGTCTGTATTTTAGCCTGGTGATTTTGATGTTTTGCTAAGTCATTGCCAGTCTTATTAGTTATTTCTTTGTGAATGAGGAGATTATTAGAAATGCATTAAAATATTCTGTTAGGGAAATGTTAAAATACTAAAGCTCTATTATTAAGCTTTCACACTGTAAGAAAAGCAATTTTAAGGTTGCACCTGTAAAATTCATTTTGCTTTGCTGTATGTTTTATTGTATGGTTTAGCTACATGACTGCATGCTGTTTCTCAAATACCATGTAGTATTTTCCTGCCAAATTGGTTACATATAAGCAATTTTTAATCTGTGATAAGAAGCTTTAGTCTATAACCTTAGAAAACTGCATTTTCTGTTTTACCTGCATTTTCTGTTTTACCACATATAGTATTTTTCCTGTACCATGTGGAAAATGGAATTTGTCTCAGTTGTATAGTTCATACCTCAGTTAGCAGCCGAGCTCCCTACTAAAGGTTATATTTGGATTTAAAATGTATCAAAGCAACCAAAAGAAAATAAATTATATAAAAGGGGTGAAGTCCGTAAAGACATATGGTAGTAATCGTCCACTCTTTTTAATGTAAATTTTAAAATATTAAAAACCTTTATAGTGTGACATACATATTTGCAATCCTAGAAAGATCATATATGATTGCATTATTTCTCAAATAATGGAGTTATAGATCCTGACCTGCCTTTACCATCTGCTGTGCACTGCAAAATACTGCTGTGCTAAGCCAGGAGAAAACCAACTTAAGGAGCTACATAAAAACTCAGCTACATATAAGGCATTTGTTTTAGAACAGCCATTTTTGTAGCATTGCAAGCTACTGCAGTGTTGTGTAGACTTGAGGCTGTTCTTTCTTATTTTCTTATTTTGCGCTGAAGGAGTATATAGTTTCAGAATTGGGCATGGTACATAAAACTATGAAGTTACCTTTGCTTTAGCCCGTCAGCTGAACTGAAGAAAATTTAGCTAGAGAGAAAGATTTGTCTCTGCATCTCAATTCATGTGTTGTGCCTAATTCCAAACATGCTTCCAGTGTTCCCATTGTGCATAAAACCTGGACTGGTTAATGCCACATCTTAGTGTATTTTGTTCGCCTATGGGTATTTTTCATGATGTTCAGATTTTCTCAGAATTTAATTGTTGCTGCCGCGCAGTGTTCAGGGAGAATAAGCTTTGTGCTGAGTTCCTTGAAAATCAACTGTTCATGATGGGGGGAAGACCTGAAGGGAATAAACTTTCTGCAGGTTGCCTTTGCTTAATTTTTCATCTCATGATTACAGTCACCCTTTCTGCTGTACGTATCAGCAGAGTTAGAGTGTGATCTATATTTCTCTCCGGAAGAGTGGAGTCAGTCACAAGAGGTAGCATTAGGGGAAACCTGTCGTGCCTCATGTTTCTGTATGTGCTTACTGTGCCAAGATTAAATAGAGAACTTGAGTTTTTTAAGCTGATGACAATCTGCCACCTCACGCAAGCAGTAAATTCCATTTTAAAATGATTAAAAGGGAATGAAGGCCAAACTATCTATATAAATGATAGAATTATTCCAAGTAGGAATGCTCAGCCTTTTCTTGAGCAGCTTCTGCATCAAGTGCAAGTCATTGGCAACCTGCTGCACAGAACATCTCTTGCTTTTCTTTAATTGGTTCTGACAGTCTTTAAAGGGCTGTCATACTAATACAGTCCCCTGGATTGTGATAGCTCATTCTTGAGAGGAATGTAAATAAATCAGAGAAATGTTTAGATTGCTGCAAGTGTTGAATTCATTGATCTTTCTCACACAAGCCTGACATATCAGTTCTAAGTTTTATCTCTGCTGATTATTATTCTTTTAAGCCTGATTTTCATCTTCTCCTTGGTCTTTATCTCAATAGCCAGCAACCCCAACACGCACAATAGCAGCGACCCCCATTCAGCCACTTCCACAGAGCCAGTCAACACCAAAGCGAATCGACACTCCCAGCTTGGAGGAGCCCAGTGACCTTGAGGAGCTTGAGCAGTTTGCCAAGACTTTCAAACAAAGACGGATCAAACTTGGATTCACTCAGGTGAGACTGAGTACCTGAGTGCCTGCCAGTGTGGAACTGGAGGCTTCATCTTTCAAGTCTGGAGGGAGACTCCAATTCTGTCTTTTCCTGGGAGTACCTTCTTAAATAGGGTTATGCTCTGGCCTTTATGTAGGGGATTTCTGAGACATGACAGAAAAGGCTGTACATGCGATATCTTACTTCCCTGTTGGTTTTAAAAGGATAGCCATTTTCCCAGCAGGTACATGCATTTACCAGCTCAAAATGTCATTGCATGTGCACTGTCATTCTATAGGATTTAAAATGAATGGGACTAAACATTTGAAAACTGCTTTCAGGAGTGCCATGTTCCAAAAACCACACAGCACAATTAACTGTTTAAAAATTATGTCACAACTGGGCAGTTGTTTTGGATGTCGAAGGAATTTTCTCACTCAAGTGTATTTTCCTATTAAAAATCGATGATTTCTGTGTTTAATGATTTTGCTAAGAATACTGAACAAAAGCTGAAAGAACTGTCACCTTGAAGTTTGCTCCTGGCAAAAATGGTTGAATGAGAAATGCAATTAGAAGTACAAATTAGTTGTATGTTCTGTGATTCTGTTGAAAGGAGCTCCTGTTGGATCCAAGAGCCCTTTCTTATTAATATCAAAATAAAATGCTTTTTTCCCCTATCAAAATTTTAAAAATCTGTCCAGATAAAGAATTAATTTTGGCAACAGCCTGTGTTAAGCATAAATGTGTTTTGGTGGAAGAAATAGCAAGCAGAAATCAAAGCAGATACTTAAAAGTCTGAGCTCAGAGCAGTCAATCCAACATATGTGATTTTTTTTTTTTTTTTTCCTCCTTGGAATGAGTAAACCTACTGTAGCTGAAAGTATGTGCTGAAGTCGGATTTATTTTTCTGGCAAGGTTCTACGTGCTTGAAAAATCAGGATTCATAATGAAAGTTCCTGGCAGCATCTTAATTATAACTCAAGAACAGAACGTTCTTAGTAAAATGAAGTGCCTTTTGCTGGCTCGTGTGCCTCCTTCCCTCCCTCCTTTCCACTAGATGGAGGTACACAAATGCAACAGTGATGGACATGCACAAAAGCTAGAATAGAGCAGAACAGAACAAAGCAAAATACAATAGCTTCCCTATAGCCTGACTGAGGAAGTTCATAGAGCGCTTTAGTTATTAGGTTTGATCTGCCCTACTGTGAGATGATTATAATAGAGCAAATAGACTTTTTAAGCTTTGTGTTCAACCTCCTTTATTGACCCTGTTGTGAATTTTTATGGTCAAGAAAAATAAATAGAGTTGCTCAGGCTTTCATTTCAGCATTTGATTTTTTTTTGAGTTTAAAAAAGGGGAATTTTGAGAAAGTGCTCAAATGGCATTTGATCAGTGCTTCCTTATTCTGAGCATATACGTGTATAATTAGGCAGTTCCAGTAACTTTTACCTTGTTGCATAATTGTGGCAACTAAAGATCCCTCTACTTAGGTTTCCTATAGTTGCGTAACTTGAGTGCCTTTTAGAGGATAACAAGAATTTATTGTTAGTGGTACCGTAAGCTTTTTCAGATCCACCAGATTTATCTTACCCTACCCCTGCCTTTCAAGAATGATTGTGAGATCTAGTTTATATTGCAAACAAATCACTTAGCTGCATTCCCTCTTGTATGGGATATAACAGACAAGTTTTGAATCTCAGCTGCTCTGTCTTCTACCCCAAAAAGTCTCCAGAGGAGACAGACTTTAGGCCTTTTTTCTTTTAAAATATCACAATGTTCAACATGCAGAAACACATGAACATGCTGCATCATAATGATAGTGCTGATATGTGACTAGTTGGATAGTAGAAATTCAGGTTATGTGAAGAAACATTTTAGGCTGTTATTTTTACTCAGTATAAAAACTGTATCTCCTAGTCCTTCTGAATTCCTGACAGACCTATACACAAACTGTGATGTACCTTAAACCCAGCTACGTTCATTTCCATGTTCAGTGGCCCTTGCATTACCTTTCTTATCCCAATATATAAATTGCTTTGCCTGTGACTTAAGTGCTGCCACCTTTTGGCATAGTTAACTATTGGCTGTTGACAAAGAAGTGGTCTGCTATTCATCATAAATCACATGGCAAATGTTAGTGAGAACAAGATAAATATCACAATTAGATTTAGTTAGGGGATTGGAGTAAATGTCATAATTCTGTCCTGCCAAAGCATAAATCACCTTAACTCTATAATGGTTTGAATAGTTGGGTTTTCATGGTCATAAACCCACTAGACCATCCCTGTTATTTCTCTTAGTATCATTTGTGAGTTTTGAAATACGCAGAATCCAGAGATGTGGGTAGAGATATAAATGTGAGCTCCCCTCTGGTTCCTCTTCTGAATGAGCGGCTTAGAAAGATGTCGCTCTGGCCCTTGCCTAGCAAGGAGGATGTTTTCTTCATTTAAGCTGCACAAATTGCTAAACTTAAGAAGTTTTTCTTCTTACTTGCTTGGATGCCACTCTGCATGCTGTTAAGTTACCTGTATCAAATTGTGGTTGTGGGTGTGACCTGAAAGGAAAGCAAGCGAGCTTTATGCACAGTCCCGCTAACCCGTTTGCGATTAAACTCAACTAACTTTGCTCAAGCTCCTCAGTCTGTTCTTCTGGACTTTTCATCTTTTTGTGTGTGTGTGTGTGTGTTAAAGAATAAAATCTAAATTAAAATACGTGAGAGAAAATAGTATGCTTGAAAGATTGTTCATTTTTTTCCAAGGAAGGATCTTTGGGTGTTAATTCAAAACCAGAAAACATCATCATGTATTTAACAACTGATTTTTTTTTTCCCCCTTCTCCAAATGAGATTTAACTGTGGTACTTCCTTAGGTATATAGAGGTATATGTATAAATATTAGGATTTTTTTTTTTTTTTTTTCCCCTTCTCCAAATGAGATTTTACTGTGGTACTTCTTTAGGCATATGGAGGTATATGTATAAATATTAGGATAAACAGAATGTCTGATAACTAGCTAAAATTTAGAAAAACAGCAAGAGATATTAAAAAAAATCTGTAAACTGGCAGATGGGTAATTACAATAAAGACAACAGTTAATCATTATTTGAAATGATTCCATTTGTTGTCTCCTTTGAAATGGATGTCTCTGTTAAGGAAGAAGTTTTGTTTGAACTCCAGAAGATACTAAAAGTTCAAATAAGAATACCTTTGGATTTATTTAAATGTGATATATGTTTGCAGAGAAACATAATTCATGTTTTCAAGGGTGGTTTTCTACTAATATGAGGGCATGAATACACTGCATTTGTTACTTATTTGAACTTTTCTTCTTTGATATATGTAAATACTTAAATCTGCTCCTAAAATGAGCTCGGCCCATACTTATTTTAAAGAACTAAGAAAAAAAAATACTAGCTGTAATATTCAGTGGAGTGTTATGCTTAGTGATAATGCGATGAAGACAAAGCATCAGGGATTTCCTGGAAAGAGTTATTTGGTTAAACTGCCTGAGACTTGAAAAGATGACATTTCTGTGTGATTATTTGCGTTAGCATGAATCCTCTTAGCACTGAGCAAATTTTTGCAAAACTGAGAAGCTATTAACACCAATAGAGTCACTAAGAGAGCACATGAATGTGACAAGATTCCTTGCTTTGGAAGTACCTATGTTAGTGAATCCCTTTTTTTCTCTTTCTTTGTCCAGGGTGATGTTGGGCTCGCTATGGGCAAACTCTATGGAAATGACTTCAGCCAAACTACCATCTCTCGCTTTGAAGCCTTGAACCTCAGCTTTAAGAACATGTGCAAGTTAAAGCCACTTCTGGAAAAGTGGCTCAATGATGCAGGTGAACAAGTCTGTGTATTTCTTCACCAGCCTACCAAAATCTGTAGAATTCTGAAAAACTCTTAAGCGCTTCATATGTGCCCTTATGGTTTTATGAAGCCACTGATCTCTGCAACTGTCCATGAGACAAGTAAAGGTGTAGGTGCTTCCCTGTTCAGTTGTCCCTGTTCGTCTGAGATAGTTTCAATGCAAACTTTTAAAACTGTGTTCTGCAGTCGGCTGAATCACTGCATGGGGTGAGGGACAATGTATGTCAAGGTTTTCCTCCTTCATATATGTTAATGCATATAACTTCTAATCCTCTTCCAGCTTACTTTTTCAGATGTGTAGCTGAGGAAGGGTTGCATGGTTTGTTGTTTCAGTAAGCAGAGCTTATTGCATTCATCTCCTCCCACATCCCCTGTGTGTGTGCTTTTCATCTTTCTCCAAGAATACTTGTAAATACTCTTTCTCCCCATAGCAAGAGTTCAGTTTGTGGTGGATTTTTTTATTTTTTCCAAAATTATGTTTTTTCTTCTGTGAGATAAGTCATTCATGATGCCAGTGTTTTAGTGTTTTGTTTTGTTTTTTTGTTTTGCATCAGCAAAAGGAGCTTGGGTGGTGGTACTGAGTATCAGGATAGAAAGTATTTAATGAGTGTTTGGACAGTTTTTTTCTTATCTTTCCTTTTTTTTTTTTTTATTTTCTCCTAAATGTACAATTCTGCATAGTATAAACCTGATGAATCTGCTAAACAGATGGCAGGGACAGTGCATGAATTTCTGTTTTTACCTAAAATGAATAGAGCTCTACACTGACTGCTTACAGTATTCCCTGAAATTTTGAAAGTAATTGAACATAGTGTTGAAAATAGGAAGTGCCATTCTGTTCTGCTGACAGGGTAATCGTAGGTAATCTGGACCTGCGATAGCAAATGTCAATATCTTCTCACTGAGTGATCTAATCCACGGGAAAGAGGTCCTCAAACCTTACAGCAGCACTGGGCCAGTACAGTGCTGCAAGGGGCCGTGATTTGCTTTTCCAGCTATCTTGATGAAGTATTTGTATCTGGAAAGTGATGATGAGGACCACAGGCAGCATCATGGTTTCTCCCAGTCTGGGGGTTAAGAACTGTTGTGTTCAAGTCTGATTCACTGTCCTGAAAGTCTTTGGAAGAAAGATTCATGATGTCGTAATTTCCATTCAACAACTTCTAGGCAAAAGCAGGCAGGAAAGACAGACCAATGACCCCTTTCATTACACTACACTGTAGTGTTGCAGTCCTGTTTGCTGTTATGGAACACAACTTGTGTGCAGGGTTTTGGGGACAGAGAAGAGATCCAGCAAGATCATGGGTGCCATTGTTGAAAGAATATGTAATCTAGAAGACAAAGTTGAATATTTGCTTGAGTGAGCCTGTGAGAATGGTCCTGAGCACTGTGAGCTGTGACACCTGAGAATTACCCCAGAATCCCCATGCTCTGAAGGGTCTGCAGTGTTCTGCACCCATAATTAATTATTTTGTTTTCTAAAAGTTTATTAAAATTAGTCCTCTTTTTGCTCTTCTGTGAAGCCAGGAAAGATAGAATTAGGGGGTCATTCTATCCTGCAACTAAGGAGGAGCTGTAATGAGCAGAACTGAGTATTCACCAGGAATTCTGGAGCAGAGGGGTCGAATATTGTGAGGCTGGCCATAAGCTACCTCTTCTGCCAGGGCAGGTAAAAGAAATTTCAGGCTGCTCAGACTTTTTATAATTGCCTATGGCTTGTAGCTGTGCCTTGTGGATATCAGGCACTACTTTATTATTATTTAAACTATGTTTTCTAATAAATGAGGGTGAGGTGGCATGAGGTAAGAAAGAAAGAAATTTTATTATAAGTTTTATAGAAGTGATACTGTGGCAGAATTCAGAAGCAGAGAGTGCCCTCTGGGCTTCCTTAGAGCCTTTAAGTGTGAAGTTTCAGTTACAACACGGATTAATACCTGTGGGCTTCATAATTTTGTATCTATCTGGAAGAGATAAGAGAGTGTGTTTTAACATCCCTTGCAGAGGTGAACACTTGCATTACGCTTCACTGCATTCAAATAAAGTCTTCTGATGGGTGCTATTTTACTCTTTCAGAAAACCTCTCATCTGATTCAACTCTCTCCAGCCCAAGTGCCCTGAATTCTCCAGGGCAAGGGATTGAAGGCTTGAACCGTAGGAGGAAGAAACGCACCAGCATAGAGACCAACATACGTGTGGCCTTAGAGAAGAGTTTCCTGGAGGTCAGTGATCCTCTTGCTCTGCTCAACTGTAAAGAAACAAAGCTTTGTTTAACATCATATCTCCTAGAATAAAACTGTTGCTATGCTATTTAGGAAAATGCTTGTAGTAAAGGTGAATACAAAGACCGTGCTAAGCAGCATACAATCAGTCTGTTCATTTTAATAAAAACAACACCTTCCCTCCTCTCCTCTTCCCCTTTGCCCCAAACCACCCATTGGTTCTTGCAATTCATTGTCTCTGTGGTTTTGTGTTCCAAGTTACTGAGTAATAGGTCAAAGTTTGACGTTATGGACATCAAAAAGAAGAAAAACAGTACCCTTTCTGAGGATGGATAAACAGGGTGGCAGTCGAAACATACAAAATGTGAGGTTCATAGCTGGCCTTCTGTTGCTCTTATCAGGCACTTTTTGCTGCTGTATGTGCAGGTAGCCTCTCTAAGTAGCCCCCTCAACCTGCCTGTCCTGCAAACTTGAAGTTTATTTGGCTGCTAGTATTGTTAATGTCTTTTCCTTCTGCTTTTAACAAGACACTAAAAGAAAGATATCCTTGTCAAGGTCTAGAATTACCTGAGGGATTAACTCAAAAGTCAGATCCCTTCTCTCAAAAACAACCTTGTGAGCTCAGTCTTCATCACGTGTCTACAGTGAAAGCAGCTCGTTTTTGGTAGTAATGTTCTTGTAACTAGGAAAAGAGAGCAAAATTGTCTGTTATGATTTATCTCTGGCATAACACTGACCAGATTCTAGGTATAAATTCCCCATCAAGATTTCTGCCTAGGGCGGTAGACCCTTTGCTGGCCTGAAGATATAACCCGCACTTCAGTCTACGTACAGAGTAGAGCTTACATTAATGACAAGTCTTAGAAATTACTGAAATTTCTAGTATCTCAAATTTACATGAGCTGGTCGAAGTTCATCTAAAGAACATGGTCATCTTAACTGGCTTTGACACCTGGCTCACCAAATGAATCAGAGCTTCAGTACAGAAAGGTTATTTCCCTAGGAAACCCTGGGGAAGCCATCCATATTCAGTAGCACTTATGTTGGGAAAGTCTAAGGCAAATTGCAAGAAGGTATTGGAAAGAAAAGGCTTATTTCCTGTTAAGTGAAAGAGTTTGGAGAAGAGACTTAATTGGGAAAGATTGTAAGTTTTTCAGTTTAATAATCTTAAATTTTCAACAAAATTGACAAAAACGTGCCTTGTCTGTGAGCTGCCAGACGTCTTGAAACCTGGAACTTCACCCAGGAAGGGGAGAGTTTATCTGCAATGAAGGAATTGTTTGAATGGCTTTTGAAATCCCTAAGGCATCAAGCGCACCAAATCCTGCTTATCTTTGCAGTCCATCTTCTTTGATAAAGGCTCTTTGCAACCATGTGCTATAAAATAAATCTTCAGAAGGTAATTTCACAACTTTCAAGTACCGTCTCTTTCTCTCAGAACCAAAAGCCTACCTCGGAGGAGATCACCATGATAGCTGACCAGCTAAACATGGAGAAGGAGGTGATCCGCGTTTGGTTCTGTAACCGGCGCCAGAAGGAGAAAAGGATCAACCCACCCAGCAGTGGTGGAACCAGCAGCTCGCCCATCAAAGCAATTTTCCCTTGCCCAACCTCACTGGTAAGAATCAAGACTCTGGTTGCCCAGCTCACTGGAAAAGGTAGTTGCACTTTGCTCTTTGCAGAAGTTGTACATGCGAATTTGTTGTACAGCAGACTTGTACTCACAAGTTTTCTTTCTATTGCATTGGTATTTAAATATCCTGCTTGGGTACTATAAAAGAGATATTGCTTACCAACTGGGCACTGATTTGGTTTTCAGTTGAGATGCCTTATTTAGCCATCTCTTGAGTAAATATTCTGGCTTGCAAAATTGTAGCTGGGGTTACTACTTTGGAAATATACCGTAAGAGCTTAACTCCTCTTTATGTCTGGATTGCCTCTTCGCCCAAACTTTTCTTCATAAAATAACAATAATAATAATAAAAAGCTCAACTGCTCTACCCCTCCCACCTTGCTCTTAGCCAACATTGATAATCTCTTATCAGCAGTAAAAAATATAATTTGGAGTTTTAAGTCACATAAATCCAGTAATACTGTTGCCATCACTTTTAGCCAGCCACTTTCAAAAAGGAAAGGAACAAAGGAACAATTTAGCTAATACTCATGTCATTAATTTCCCAAACTTGTATTTGCCTCAGGTAAACACAAGCTTAATGAAAATAAGAATAACAAAACACGTGCATCAAGGTTTCTTCAATTCCTTTGCTACCAATGTCCATGGAGGTCTGTTTTCATAAATAGAAACAGTAGCTATTAGATTTCATGGTAGCTATGCTAATAGGAGCGTGGCGGAATTTATGTAGCCTGTAGCTGTCCTTTTGTAGTATTTATTTCACTCTCATCACTCGAGTAGCTAAAGCCTTCAAGTCCTTCGTTAAATCATTAATTTTGGTGACATGTCATTCTTTTGCTTCATCCTTGTCTCAGGAAGTATGCATGCAAGTTTTTGTTTCAGGGTTTAGGGATGTCTTAAAAGTACCTAGGCTTTCTTAATTAGAAAGCAAGGTTGCATGCCTTGCTACCAAAGCAGAGCATAGTGAGATATGCAATAGCTTTACTTACTGTGCAAGTTTACTCAGATTGCAACTTAAGAAAACTTCTCCTGCCTAAAAGGACTTTTTTATTATGAACTACCATTGTGTGTGAAGAAATGAGGATGTTAACTACAAGCATGCGTTCTTTCAATGATGTTTCACTAAAACATTTTCACTGTTAGCTTCTCTAAGTTGACGCTACCAGCGGAACAGGTGTTCCAGACCCTTTCCCATGTTCACTGGCAACGTGCATCTCTGATTCCTTGTGGCAGCTTGGGAGATGGTGTGTCCCTCGGATAACTGGGCTTTAGTTTACTCATGTGACTGAAACTTAAGCAGCCAGCAAACACTAATTACTTGTCCCCTGGCTGCACAAACACTAGAGCCCTAGGAGCTCTGTTAGTGTGGGAGGCTTCTTAGGTGGCAGCCCGCTGCTGGCTTGGCTTGAGTGAGTCATCGTAACCACACGGTTAGCTGTAGTGATCCCAGGTTGTTCCCTGCTCTGGAGTATGGGCTGTGCCGTTGGCCTGAACTCTTGTATGGACAGATGACAGATGTGATGTGTTTGCAGTAGGCTGCATTAGTGGAAGATGTGCTAAGTGTCTAGCTCTTCTTTATTTCATAGACTGTTTGAGATGGACAGAAAGCTTTTAGATCTATCCCAGTTGCCTCAGCCTTGTTAAAATGTGTGAGGCGGTCCTCTTCCTGTAAGAGAATAAGCAGCATGAGAGAGATTGCTGTGATAATAAACTTAAGGTAAGAGAGGGGAATGGGAGGAAGGTTTTAGCCTATAGTTTTAGATATGTTCTCTTGGGCAATCCTAAAGACTTCTTTTCTCTCATTGATGTATAATGGCCTTCAAATATTCTGGTTGGTCACCATTTCTGGGCCAGGGAAAAAAAAAAATCTCTGCTCGTATTTATTTTTCTTTCATAACCCTGTTCCTCCAGCCTTAAGGCAGTACAAGGCTGTCCAAAAATAAAATTAACTAATGGCATATGAATATTTTTAAACTCAGAGATCTTTCCTCTGACACAAGGAAACTTGTCAAATCGAACATCATAGTTCAGTTGAGTAAAAGTGAAATAGTATAAAATACCCTGAATACATTTGGATAGACTGTGGTAGAAAGAGATCTAGAGCTAGAAAGATGCTCGCACAAGAGAAAAGCCTACGGAAATAATACATATTATAACTTTTTTCTATAAGGGTAGTCGTTAAGAGGCTGATTTTGGCAGGAGGGAAAGCAGGGGGCAGCTTGCAGTTATGACACGGTGTGGCTGCGATAGATGTGCTTCCCTTCAAGTGCTGAATATCAAAAAGAGAGTTGTTGCTCATAATTAGAGAAGGTACTGTGCTTGGTCCAATAACCTAATGGAGTTATTAAATAAAAAATGCAGTATTTTCCCCAACATCATCTTCAGTTGAGAATGGGAAGGAAGAAATTGAAGTCTAGTAGCTAACTCTTTTTCTGTTTGACAGTTATATTCTGTTTTGGCCTCCAGGTGGCAACCACACCAAGCCTTGTGACTAGCAGTGCAGCTACTACCTTGACTGTCAACCCTGTGCTCCCTCTGACCAGTGCTGCTGTAACTAGTCTATCAGTCACAGGTAAGATACAAGCCATGAAAGTGGCTTCAGGTTCTTTACAATTCACTTTTCCTTAGTTTGCGAGGAAATTGCTACATCAAACAAGTAACAAAAAAATTATGGCAATCAAGATTTTGTTGGATTTCTGTTGGTCTTTGTTACAAGTTATTATTAAAGATAAATCTAAGATTCTTTGGGTTTTACTGCATAAATAAAGTGGGTATTTCATTTTGCTATATGGTGTGTATCATGAGATGTGAAGATACTTTTAGACAGGTGTCTGTAATCTGCATGGCTGAAGATGGAAAATAGGGAAGAAAAGTATTTTAACAATCACCAAGGAATCCTTGAGTTTTTGTGACTGTTGCTTTTGTATATAAGTTCCAAGCATTTTCTTCTCTCAACTATTGCAAAGATTCTGGGCTGTGTTTTTTTTTTTTTTTTTTTTCTCCTCACCCGATGTTAATCTCTCCTATTTCACCTTTTAGAGGTCTAAAACAGGAATTGAGTAATAGTCACACTAATGTCCCAGTACATCTTTCTTATTGTTCCTTGTTACTTCGCCATGGAACTTCAATCTTTGTGATAATTCACCTGAATTTTCTGGGGATAAAATCGCAGGTGGTGCTGAAGTGAAGATGCCCCCTTCCACTGCTCACTTCTAAAGCTGCTCAGTCATTTAATTGTAGCCTGAGAGCCAAACTCAGCGTTCCTTCTTATTTAAGCTCATGATGCTTCTTGGTCCCACAGACATGCATGTTTGTCTTCCTTTCTGTTGGATGTGCAGTTCAGTTTAGGTGGGTAGTGGTTTCTGTTCAGTCATGTCTGTGTTTTGTACTGGTCTAACCAGAATCGATCTTGTAGGCACAACAGAAACCACCTCCAACAACACAGCAACAGTGATTTCAACAGCACCTCCAGCTTCTTCAGCAGTGACATCACCTTCCCCGAGTCCTTCCCCTTCTGCCTCAGCCTCCGCTTCAGAGGCCTCCAGTGCCAGTGAGACCAGCACAACACAGACAACCTCCACTCCCTTGTCCTCCCCTCTTGGGACCAGCCAGGTGATGGTAACGGCATCAGGGTTGCAAACAGCGGCAGCAGCCGCGTTACAAGGAGCTGCACAGTTGCCTGCAAATGCAAGTCTTGCTGCCATGGCTGCTGCAGCAGGACTGAACCCAAGCTTGATGGCATCCTCGCAGTTTGCAGCTGGGTAAGGATGAATTTTTCATATCCTTGCAGGTTCAGTGATAGTGAAGAAGGGAAGACAGGTCTAGGGTAAATTAGCATGGGCTTTTCCTTACCACGCTTTCCTGTTAGCTCACTTGGCAATCCTAGCATCTTTCATCTCCTATTCTGAGGGTTTACTTGTGGGTGGCCAACTTTTCCATTCCTGTCAAAGGAAACAAATAATATTTTCATTTTACAGATGAGAAGGCTGTGCTGCAGCAGTGTTGTGATTTGATAAGTCATCCATCCCATTACAGAGCTTGACTTAAGAGCTACAACTTGCCAGTGAACCATAGAATCAATTGTTCTACTAATAAAAATTGATAGCTAGCATAGACTAACTTCCCAGCTTGTATTTATTTCACCGTTGATCTCTCCATCATGATCCAGAAGCTGTAAAAGATGCATGACTATGTATTATTGGGATTTTAGTTTTAAAAATGTTGCTCTTAAAGATGACTTATTGCTTGTTTAGTTCCTCTTGATTTACTTCTTTCTTTTCGGAATTCAGGTAGCTCTAATAAGTGGCAGTTTCTCCAAAATGCATTGCTAGAATATTTTACAGCAACAATCAATACAATTCCTGCAGTTTGAGTGCCTGTACTTCAGGCATCTTGCTAGCCCCAGCTGGAAGACAGCTGTGAAAGGGTCTGCTCAAGATGTCATGCAGAAAAGAGTAGAATAAACTAAAATAGGTATCAGGTCCTACTCTCTGATTATTTATCTGTTTGTTTATTTATTTATATGACTGTGTACTTCTGAATAGTGACCACCTAAAAAAGTAACCCACTTTCATGTCTTTGCTTCTTCTCCCACTATCTTGCCACTGCAGAGGTGCCTTACTTAGTCTCAATCCAGGAACATTAGGTGGTGCTCTCAGCCCGGCCCTGATGAGCAACAGTACGCTGGCAACTATACAAGGTCAGTAGTGTTCCTTTTAATGCATCTCCGTCATATAACTGCAATTTGTGCGTTTCATCTTTCTGTACCAAAAAAGAACACTGACTTCTCAGTGCTGGACGTAAGTGTTTTAAGAGTAAAGGTTTTACAAAATGTAAATACACAAATATGTTTTATGTATCAGAGTTGAGAGCATGTACAAATTTAGAAAGATGATTAGAACTGTGTGTGATGTCACAGAAATGTACAGGAGGCCTATAAGATATGTGATGTGATCTGGCATTAGTTTTGTTGTTCTCCTTCCATAGGTATAGAGACACATACACCTCCAACAGATCAGAGATCTGCTTTTTACAGCTCTTGCAGCATAAACTTGAGCAGAGTTGCATAGTTTCAAGGCCTGTAACAGAAAAGTTCAGAGTTAAGACTTGATCCTGGATCTTTCTATTAATATGTCTTAAAAATAGAAAAAATGCACTCTTAAAGACCTTATATAGAACTTTTATATCCATAAATCCTTACACAGAGGTCTGAAGATCTACTTTGGAAGCGCCATGCACCCAGAAGTTTCCCCTGACTTTAGCAGGTTTTGTTTTGAGTTCGTAGTTTGGCACCTTTGCAAACTAGATAGGAAACATCTAGCTAGCCTTATGTGTTCAAACATAGTCACAAATAGCTTAACAAATCTTGTTTCCAGGATATAAGGAGGAGGCATTTTGGAAAGTGTCACAGAAAAACTCAGGAGATGATAACCCATGGCAGACTGAACCCTGTACACTTGTGAGAGAAAATTGTAACAACGATCACATGCCAACAGGCAAAATGTTTGCTCAAGGTTACGTGACCTTCTGCATCCTTTGACAGTGATCAGTTCGTGTGAACACTCCCGCTGTCCCTCTCCAGCGCAGGTTACCTGAGCGTGCAGGTTTTGTGGCAGCAAACACAGGCCTTTGTTACTCTTAAGGTGTTGAAGAAAACCATGTTGAACTTACTTCAGAAACAGACCACAGAGATGTTTTAGTATCTGCAGTGTCTTGTCCGCTTGTAGAAAGAATTGTTGCTTAAAAATATGTATTATATAGATATGCAGCATCCTATTATGGAATGGCAGATAAGTGGAGGACATTTTAAAGAGAAAGTTTAGATGCAAGTCTGTATGCTTTCATCCATGGTGATGGGAAAAGGCTCATTATGGGTTTTAAGCTTTGAAAACATCCAACACTTGTACTTGTAATTCAATTCTTGACTAGAATCATTAGAATTTTCTTAACTTCACAGAGTTTGTGCCCTGACTGTGCTTTGCTATATATGGTGATCTTTTGCCAGCTGCTTGTTTTGGATAGTAGATAGTATCACATCATGGGCCTGAGTTCCCGAATAGTCGAGTTAATGCCCTGCCCTCGTGGTGCCCTTACTGAGTTGTGTCCTTGGTCGACAGCACGTAGTTACTGTAGAGCTGTGTTTTTCAAGATGCCATGGCAGTCTCTTTGCCACTGCATAAAAGAGAGTCAGGGTTCTGCATAAAACAGTCATTCCTGTCTGTGATTGCCTAGAATTCATTAAAATATTATTTCACAATCTCTAGATAGACACCATCTTTCTTATGAAACTGCAGGGACTTTATGAGTATGGAAGTTTGCTGGAGAGAGGTAAAATTGCACTGCAGAAAAAACTTTCCTAGTTGTTGAGATACAAAAGGGTACCTTCGCTATGGGCAGCAGCTCTGATGAGCGAAAGACAGCAAGTTAAGCTGCTTTTTAATCTTTTTACCCATGCTTGAAGTAAGAGGAATTATCAATAGTGGTGTAGAAAGTGCTTCCACGAGAGGAGGAAACCTCAGAGACCTGTTGCATTTAGGCGCATTTTTGCATTGTTGCTTACTGCTAATGTTATCTCCGTCCTACTTAATTTTCCCTTTTTTTAGCTCTTGCATCTGGTGGCTCTCTTCCAATAACATCACTGGATGCAACTGGGAACTTGGTGTTTGCCAATGCTGGAGGTACTCCTAACATCGTAACTGCCCCCCTGTTCCTGAACCCTCAGAACCTTTCTCTGCTCACCAGCAACCCAGTTAGCTTGGTCTCTGCAGCTGCAGCCTCCGCAGGGGCCTCCGGACCAGTCGCCAGCCTTCACGCCACCTCCACCTCAGCCGAGTCCATGCAGAACTCTCTCCTCACGGTGGCCTCCGCGAGCGGGGCCGCATCCACCACCACTACTGCCTCCAAGGCACAGTGAGCCGGGCCGGGCTGGGCTGCCAGGGCCTGCTTCACTGTGCGCTGGGATTGGCTGCCAGCGGCGTTGAGAAACTGAAAAATGGCATTGGCATCCTCTTGCCGTGTTGCTGGGGACAAAGGAGAGAAGGAAAAACATACAAAACAAGAGCAAAACAGGAAGGATTTAAAGCTGGGACAGACATTTGCCTAATTTTATAATAAACACTGTCTTTTCAGGATCGCTTCATGGATCGGAGAACTTTCTAACCAAAAATGTAAAAAAAAAAAACAAAAAAAAAACAAAAAAAACACAAAAAAAACACAAAAAAGTGAAAGGACTACTTATCATTTCCAGCAGTCACAATGACAAGTTAAGGTGGGTTATCAACTCAAACAGAGGAAGGGGATTTCCTGTTTCTTTTTGGTCTAAATATCTTTCTTTTTTAATTATCATTTTATAGGTCTGTTGTACAGGCCACTATGTCATACAAGGTGTTTATAATCGTATCAATTGTGTTGGGGGTTCCTTTCTTAACTGGTACAATTTAGGCAGGCCTGTATTACTGGTGTATCTCTATTATTATTATGATTATTATTATTATTATTTTTATATATATAGTTTGGACGCGTTTGTCTTTTGCTCCTGGATTATTTTCAGCGAGCTCCCATGCCATGGGGGGAGGGTGGGAGGGTGGAGAGGAAGAATGGAGCACAAATAGACTTTCTGTCCTCATCTTCTGGGAATGTTCTGAACAGTTTCCTCATCCTTGAATTTGTCCGATGGTTACACAGGGGGCTCAGAGGAACCCTTGGCCATCACTTGGCGCAGGAAGCTCAGCACAGCAGTAGAGATCACGGTGTGCAAACTTCCAGGATGACTTAGGCTTTCTAAGCAGAAGGAGGAATCCTTGCTGAACTGCAGTTCTTCTCCACCCAGTTACTTAGGTTCACTGGCCAAATTCTGCTCTTAGCTTGGTGTGCATAGGTCCTTCGTTCTTCGGAGAGTGGGATTTGGCCTCCTGAGTCTAGATTGTGCAACATACTGATGCGCCTTTTGTTCTGCTGATTTGGCTTTTGCAGTCAAAAATGTACACAAATGTTTAGAAAACGTTAGGTCACCCAAGCTGATCGGCAGTAGATAAAACAGCATTTACAGTCCTTTATTGCTGTCTGGTGAATTAGTACAGGATTTCCAAATGTAAGACCCTCCCAAACCACAGAAATATTCAGTTGTTTCTGGTGTGTCCAACACTGTGTTTGGAATAACTTCCCCCTAAAAAAGTGCTTCTGCTAGCAAAACGCAGAAACCCAAACTTTCAGAACAGAGGCTGCCATCCTTTATGCTGCCACGATCTAGTTGACTCTGGGGCTTTGCACATACCTGGGTGATCTCGTGTGGCTGTGATGTTGCTAGCTATGTAAAAATGGCAATAAGCGCCTCTGACTTAAAGATTCGGGGCTCGCCTGCCGCTGTAACTATCTTTCCAAGGTTGATTCTGATCCATGTAGCAAAGAATATTTATGTGAATGAGGAAGAATAATGGACTGTACAGAAGTTAGATCTGTATATTCTTAAATATACAATCTAGTGTCTGAACCAAAAAAAGATTTTTTAAAAAAGAGAAGACTGGATCACTGCAATGCAGTTCACTTTGAGCTTTCCATTCCTGATGGATTTAAAGGTTTCTGCCATGTGTATAAAACTAAACTACTTTTAGTTAGCAAGGGTATTAGAAGAGTCCCTTCTCCCCACCTTTTTGTCACCAGAGTGCTCTCAAATAATGAGCTAATGCAGCTATGTTCGTTTTGTGAATGATTCAGGGGGATCTTGGGTTTCTCATCCAAGATCCAGAAGGCAGCAACTTTAAACTCTGCATATGCTTTGGTTTGTGATCAGAGCATGTGGGATTTACGTTTGCACTCAAGTGGCAGAATCTCTTACCTCTTTTTTTTTCCCCCTTTCCCATGTTTTTGCTCTGTTCATCTCTAACTCTCCACCTTCCTGTTTTACTGAATACTTAAACCAGTTATCCCTAAAACTTCAAAACTAGTGAACTGCAAGCAGGGAAACTAACAAATGTCCGTCCACCGTTTCTAATGTGTTTTTGATTTTTTTATGTTTTATTTTTTTAAAACTAAGCTTGAACCAAAGTCAATTTCTAGCAAGCTGCTGTACTAATGGACTAGTTTGTATAAGTGCAGTTCAGATGCAGAGAGGCGATAGATGCTACTGACAATTTCTTTTTCATTTGTCTTTTGTTTTTATTAATTTTATATAAAAGTTGCTGCTTGTTTTTAACCTTTTTTTTTTTGGTTGGTTGGTAATTTGTATTATCCTTGGGGCAGACTCTTAACTTGATTTTAATTTGTTTTCTTTTGTTTGATGTGTAAATAGAATGGCAATGTCAGGGGATTAGTAATCCAACAGGTCCCGCCCTCATCCCACCAGTATGGATAAATCTAGATATTTTTTGGTGTGCCTGATGTCTGTATGACCTCAGGCTGCCAAAAAGATCTTTAGGGCTATGAATAGTACTGCACACATGTAAATTACCTACAGTAACAGCTTCAGAGCAGTAAAAGATATAGCTGGGTGAGCTTCAGGGAGGTAGGGAAGAAGTGGAAGAGGAAATGCTGGTACCCACTATGTTCATCTGGAGACCATCACATGGTCTGCAGTTTCTACCAAAGGAATGCAAGCCCCATGGGACTTGCATTCAGTGAAGTAAGAGAATGGGGAAAATTGCAGCTATAACGTTCATTCTTGAGTCCAAATTTCCTACTTACTTTCACACTTGTGCAAAAATACAATTTATCAGGAAGCTTTTTGATAAACAGGGAATACTGCTGGTCTTTTCTCCAGTGTATCCTCTAATCCCTAATGGATTTGTGGTAGGGTGGGGGGGGGAAAGAGGGCTTGACCCTTGCATATCTAGGAAACACAAAGAAAAAGGTGGGCCTTAAATCAGCATAAAATCCTCTGTCCAGAGTTCATAGAGACTGTGCCATTAGCTGTCTGAAAGAGTTTTCATGTCCCATTCTTGCTGGTTTGTGGTTGGGAGAGGGTCTTGTTGAGTACATATCTGGAACACTAATGCAGCTTGGATGGTTTATTTATTATAAAAATCTGCTTTTTTTCCTGACTACCTTTGCATTGGTCACATGGCTTTGGTGTGAGCACCTTATACCCCCTTTCCCTCCTCCTCTCTACCCTGTCACCCTCTCTGGGGCCCAGATTCCAGAGAATTTCTTAGCATACCTTTCCCGGAGAGAAACTGGAAACTCAGAATAGCCACATATCTGGAAAGGGCTTGATTTTGTCTTGCAAAACCCAAACAGCACACATCCCATGGCTTCAGTCACCAGCGTGCTTTGTTGCAACCCCAGTGTGCTCTCCTTTGGTGTCCTGAAACATCCCAATGATCAGCCACAGCTTCTGGGGCCTACTGGTATCTGCATCCATGATGCAGATGGCAGCCCCCAGAGCTGAGGCAGAAGGCAGAAATGAGGCTGGCAGCAGGCACACTTCTGCATAGCTACAGCGCCTACATTATTGCCCAACGTGGAAGGAGTACACGATCACAGACTAGAATTTAGCAGAGATTTCTGTTTTAAATCATAGTTGTGCTGACTGCGGAAATCGAGGCATCTGAAAGAGACAATGGCAAATATGGAGCTAGTCAGTACAGACCTTTACCGTTGCTCCTGAGCATTTAAGACCAGAGAGTTGCTATCCCAGTAGAGGTCACAAACTTGCTGACAGACCCGGTGCATTATTTTGTCAGCACATTTTCCTTGTTTCTTCCCAAGAGACTAAGTTACCTCTCTGACTCCAGTCTTAGAGGGTTTATATATTTGAATGAAGGTGATCTTCTATTACACACTCAAAGTCCTCATTTGTAATATTCTTTTTAGGGGAAGGTTTTCTCTGAGGAGATTAATTTCCAGACAGACTTCTAGGTGTGCACTGATACATTCACTCCTGTATCGATCATGCTTTGTCAGCCAGGACCAAAAGAAATTTCCTAGCGCATTAGTGAAGGATAATAGAATCTCTTTTCAGAGCACCAACTCTCATTATTTACAGATGCGTGGGTTACATTTCATAGTTGCAAACATGCCAAGGGGCATATGCAGAAAAAGAGAAAGACAGAAACTCTCATTGTTGCTAAGAACAATTAAAATTTATATATATATATAAAAGACCCAAATAAATATATCCCCTAACAGTCTAGAGAAACAATTTAGAAAATGCCTTCAGGTTGAGACATTGTAGGCTGGTCATGAAATTTTTTGTGGTAGTAGAAACATTTATTCCTATTTAGTTTTAGGACAGCTGAACCCCAGAGAGTTCACTTTGTAGTCACAGGATTCATGAGCTGATCGTAAAAGGTACACACAGATATGGCTGCTTCCAAGAGTTGCATTTGTCTATGTAAATCTCCTTTGGAAATTTCTGAAATATTGTGCAGTATGTATTAATATAAGTACATTTTATCATGTACCTAAGGAATACTGCATATGTGCATACGCTCAAAAAATCGTGGCCAACAAAACATGTTTGTTTCATGCTGAAGTACTTGATTTTAGAGAAATTTTTGTCCAGCTCTTCACTTCACAGTTTTCCTTTGGTTAACTTGTGAAGATGCATTATTGCTGCACTGCTTCTTAAAATGCTCTACATCAATAAGTAGATGCTGAAACCCAAGTTAAATTGGATTGAAAAAGTGCAAAAGTTCCTTGAATTTGAAAATCTGATGAACCATCAAGGAGCACATGCCCAAAAGTTAGTGGACCTTCATGTAGGAATGTGCTGGTGCTGCTGCTCAGTAGCTTTGAGTGTTAGTGAAAATGAAAAGGTCAGACCATCGAGAGGAAGACATATATTCTTTTGATTTGATTTATATACCTTTTAGAAGATCAAAACCTGCCAGTCTTAATTCTATCATGAAATGAGCTGGCTTGACAAAAGAGGTTTTTGCTGAAAACAGTATAGATTCGGATGTATTTGAAGTTACAGCTTGTGAATGGTTGCACCTTTTAGATTAATAACAAGGTGCTGGCACTGAGCAGAGGTAGCTCAGTGCAGAAGTATCTACTGACCTTAGTGCTCAAGAACACATGCTGCCTTGTAGTAGGGTGGCTTGGGCAAGAGCAAGTCATTGCCTCTATTGTTACCCCGTTCTTATTTTAATCTCGTATACTTTGCAGAAATCATCAGGTGCAAACACAATTCTGTACTTCTCTCCTTTGGTATCCTTCCAACATCTTTTGGGACAAATTATTACATTTTATTTAAAAAAAGCATAGAAATAAACAATTTTAGTCAGGTAGGCAGCAAGAGAATTGCTATAAGCAAGACATGTTTGAGAACCTTCTCTGCACACATCCATGCCAAAATTTGAGTGAGTAGTAGAAAATTTCTTCTTTCTCATGAAACCATAACCTAATGTTTTGGTTTGTTCTAATGTTTAAGTGTCCTCTTGTAGTATAATTTGGCTCATTCCACCTTTCTCCAGTTCAGTTACTGAAGGAGGCAGGAGTGTTAATTATTTAACTCTGTGATGACCATTTGAGTGTGGCAACATAGACTGAAACAGAAGACCACTCTTTCTCTGTTACA